TCCTCGAGCTGATTGTCGGGCATGCAAGAGCACCCCACCCAATACGCAATAACGCCGGCATTGCGCGCCGCTACGTCAGCCATTTGATGCAGAACTCCAAAATCCTCGGGCGTGTTGAACTGCTCAGCTGTATACGCGATGAAGACGTACGAGAGATCGTGAGCATCATGTTGAGCCAGCCTGCAGATGTCAGAGATGAGCTAGAGGTACGGCATTGTTGACTTACCAATCGTCAACCTTGGTGATGATGGCCGGCCTTCCCGGCTCTCGCAAAAAGCAGAGGTATCGAGGACGCAACACACGTTCGGCAACAGGATTCGCTTGGCTCGAAGCATGACCTTGGGGCCTGTGCATCTCGATCGCGTTCTTGGCGACCTTGGGATATCCGAAGTACTGGTATGGCAGGCCATCGTAGCTTCCACCGTTGCGAGACGCGATCTCAGCGGGGCTTGGGCTGGAAATCTAGACGCCATCAGCTGGGTGATCAAAATGCGGATGTAATGGACTCACAAAGATCGTGATGAAGCAGGATGCGACGAACCACTTGAGACAAAGCATAGGAAGGTCTTCGTTAGGGATGTTGCCGCCATGACGCGAGAAGTCGATGTGATTGAACGGCCAGTTCGCCAGTCGCATGTAGATAGGTGCGACGTTGCGGACGAAGGTGCGCCTGTAGGTAGATCCTGTGTTATTCTCGTAGATGTCGTCAACAGCTTGTACGACAAGCTTGGAAACCTTTCCGTCCCAAGACGAGATGTAGCGGTCATCGTAGTCACCAGTCCATTCGCGGTCAAAGATGTCTCGATGTCGGTGCTGGCCAAGCTTCTGGTACGCAAGACCGGGCTTGCGGTAGAAGTTGGGGCGCTCCCACTTCATTGTGGTCCATGGTGAGAAGATATGTGCGTATCCCTTGGGTGCGATCAATCCGTTGCGCTGGATTGCGTTAGCGGATCCTAGTACTTGGAGTTTCAGCCTACATACCTCTATTACCGACTGCCCTAGACGCCTCTCGTTGGCTTCATGGTCGTCTTGGGAGGCAGGGGGATGTCCATATGGTGCGACTTCGCGGACGGATGCCTGAGCATCATTGGCGACCATCTTCGCCATCACGCAAGTGATGCTAGGCAAAGCAAGCACACAGTCGATTTATAAAACTTGGCGGCTGGCTAAAATGCTGGGGCGGCGGTTGTTGATACTGTTGATAGGGCTGATGATAATATCCAACTGGTGCCTGTGCATCTATCAGAAAGGCACGAAGAAGGGAGAAGCGGAAACGTACTTGAGGCGCGAGCGTTGGCTGTGGGTGTGGGACTGGTTGGTGTTGCACAACAGCTGCAGGCTTCAGAGCAGCGTTGTTTGGGTCGTAACCACCTCCACCGCAGTGATGCGATTGCGTCTGATGAATGCTGTCAGGCGGGTGTCGTGAATCATCGGGACTGGAGCGAAGACGTACCGGATAAGATTGCTGATACGACGGTACTTGTACAAAGGTGCCACTGCCGGGATCGAAGCCACCTCCGTGTCTTCCAGAGAGATTTGGAGGGTAAGCCTTGAGATGGTTAGCGGGTGATCGACGTGGAGGCCGAAGAGTCTTTGTACCATTCAACGTCGGTTTGTGAAACTGAGCGGCGGTAGTCTTGAACATACACTTTGGAGACCTTGAGGCCGGCGATCGTGTCTAGTCTTATCAGTTCCAGGTCCGTTAATAGAATACGGTCAGGTGGCACGAGGGTAAAGCGCCTGCCTGAACGCGCGCGTTGCTGGAGTCGTTGCTTTTGACTCTATCCTAGACTTCAGCTCAACCTTCACCTTTCTTGGATTGGCCATTCTCTCGCATTAGGACCCTCTAACTTCCACTTCACGATATCGTGGCGTTTGCTGTGGACCCTGTATGCAGGAGACATATCCGGAATGGGTCGAGGCCCTATCGATGCGGCCTTCAGTACTACATGGTGGTGACCCTCCATGTAGACATCAGTCGTCGGACTGGGTGGTATCCATGTCTTGGCTTTGTTGGCACGGTGGGCAACCTCGGGGACTTTGCATATTCGCCTACCCTAGTACGCTGGTGTGGCTTGAAGCATCATTCATGCGTACGGTACGCGGTGCTTGCCGCTCGCCATACAAACGGTGAACAACATGAGGCCATTCGTTGGAGTTCAGCTTCTCAAAAAGGTAGGTACCCTTAACATCCACTACAAACGTTCGCGGAAGGTTGTTGTATTTTTCGAAGCCATGCCTGCATCTAATGGGTATAGCAGCGACATTCGCCCGGCGGAGAGGTCTGAGGGACGTACTGTCCTTGGTGCGCTTGAACACCGACGTGCTGTAGAATTGAACTTGACAGGTACCGCTTCTCGCATTCTCGCGTACAGTACCATTTCGAGGGGCTCGGCTGTTTACCAGCTGCCATCTTGGCATGCTCAGCCTGGCGCCACCAATAGCGTAGCGCTGACGGCCTCAGCCGATAGGCTCGCTCGGACACTCCCTTCAGCTCTCGAAATTGCGTTTACCGCTTCGGACCAAAGCTGAAGAATGCCAAGTGCAGAACCGCTGGCCCGTGGCCGCATGTTCTCAGGTATCACACCATGAGTGCGATACTAGGCAGATCTTCGCTTGACCAGGTGCGCGGCTACCGTTTCGTCGAAACCTGTGGCGCTGGCTCTGCCCGCATGATTGATCGGGGCTGATAAACGAGCAGTGCAATCGGACAGACGCCCTGGTGTCGCCGCTATCGGTAAAGTACTCGTGCAACGTAGGCAAGTGCAGGAGTATTGAGAGCTCTCCACAAGTCATACTATTCGCACTTTTACTGTCACCTTAGACCGCAATGAAACCAAACAAGAAGACGACTTTGTGTCGGCAACTGAATGCCGATCGCCAACCCTTTGACGAGTTCCGGAGGAGAGCTGTGGCAGCTGCGGCGAAGCAGCCAAAGACCGCTGGCATAACACTAGACCTCTGCGAATGGCTTGATGACGCCGATGAAGGAATCGAGATACCTGGCCTGAAATCCGGATCAGATCTCGAGTCGGCGAGTAAAGGGATGGTTCGCGTGATGTGAGTACATCCGCCAGAAGCATCCAATGTACTGATCATCATAGACTTGCGCCTCGCGACACACCAACACCAGGAGCAGCTGCGTTGGTAGAGCTTTTCGACTCATGCAGTATTCCCAGCGCCTTTGTGGACGAGAGCCTGCGAGACGTTTCTCAATCTTTCGCAGCGTGCGAAGACGCCGATGGCACGACGTGGATCTGGTTCCACCTCTTGTGTAAAACGTTAGCAGTGATCGATAACAAGATCGCCCCGGGCCCAGGTTTCGTGGAGGCTGAGGGCAAAGAAGCTAAGAGTCGACAGGCGGCGCGAGCTCAAAGCCAGGCGAACTTTTCCTGGATCAAGACAGGCATCGTGTTGAAGATCCGGAAACAATCAGACGACCCGCCTCCGCCTGTACGAACATCGAGTTCTGACAGCGATAAGACGTTGGCTCCTACCCCGACCAAAGCCGCGGTAGAGCTGATATGTTTCGGCGCACCCAGTACCCTACGGGACCGAATTCGGGCACTGACGAAGACGACATCGTGCGAGGTATTGCTGGAAGATCCGCATATGCTGCTCGAGCTCGTGTTCGAGGAGATGTACAAGCTCCTGGACTGGACAGCCTGGGCTGTGTCGGATACGTTCGGGCCTTTGGAGACGGTGCGTGCGCTCCTTTTTCGACCAAGTGTCATGCTAATGTACTGTCAGCAAACCTTAGGGATAGCCAGTAGGGTTGGAAAAGCGACAGAGGAACTGCCGAAGGACCTCTTCACTGGGCTTCACAACCTGGCCAAGCATGCCATATATCTCCACGAGAACTGTGAAGCAGCATTAGCCACACTAAACGATCTGTATACCCATCATACAGCGCTGATGGGCACTGATCCAAATACCTTACAGAGACAAACCAAAGAAGCACTCAAATATCGACAGACTCTATTCGAATCGACGCAGCGACGGCTGACAAGTCTCAATGCGCGGATCTCGAACATCATCGGCTTGTCGTTCAACATCGTCACGCAGGGCGATAGCAAGTTGATGCAGTCGGAGAACCAGAGTATGAAGACAATCGCCGTCATGACGCTATGGTTCATGCCGCTAGGCACGGTAGCTTCCATCTTCGGTAGCCAGTTCATGAAGCTGCAGGATGAGTGGCCGCATCATATTACCGTCTCGCAGGACTTTTGGCTGATGTGGGGTATGTGAACTGCCACGACCTGCTCGTAAGACGCGCGCTGATCCTTTATCGCAGTCATCGCGGTTCCTTTGACCCTCGCGGTCCTGTTGAGTAAGTGCAACCCGGATCCGAGGCCGCTGAAGACGTGCGCTGACCCAACCGGCAGTTTGGCGGGTGTGGTACATGGACGCAAGGCACAGATTGATAGACGGAGTGGAAAAGAAGCAGGGTGAACATGGCTATATGGGGTGGAAGACGTTGCCTCAGACGCTGCGCAGGGTGAAGGCGAGAAGAAGCGTGCCAGATGTGTGAGCGCCGAGGTGCAAGGTCGATGACGTAATATGGGCGGAGCGACCTCGGCAGCTGCCGCCGCGGCTCCATGGGCCCTTCCATCTCGGACTGCCCTGCCATCGCTCCATACCTCGCCAGCGCTCAGGAGTGTAGCATGTGCTGTAGATGCGCCATGGCGACTTCAGGTCTCGGGCCCATGGCAACAACTATACAACGCTTCAGCTCTTATCATCTGTATTTCAATGCCACAACGAGACGTATCCTTTCATTGGAATGAATCAATACAACCACAATCTTGGGATGGGACGACAACGTCATCTAGTCGTTTCTCGCCCACCTGAAACGAGCGATGAGCCCATGCGTCCCGTAACCCCATCAGCGCGTACTCCCGAGTCGCAGCTGTCATTAGAATCGGACCTCGGGATGGATTAATGAGAGAGCTTACACCCGCCACTACTTCTGCCACGCAATATCCCCATCTCCACTACCCTCATATCATCCCATGATCCACCCCCAACCCCAACCCCACCATCCCCTCCCCATCCCTCTGCGCAATATCCACCGCGCCACTAACCTCAATAAAGTCCTCCAACTCCTCACTCGTAGTCTTCAGTTTCTCCTTCACAGCCGTCACACCCTCGGTCCCCACAATATGTCTCGCAGGAGGATTATCATGCCCCCCAATCGCCGTAAGCGCATGCACCGTCTCCGCGATCAAATTGCTCTTAACCCCCACCGGCAACGGCGCATACAGACTCGTCACCGTATCTGAACTCAACAAATCGCCCATGGTGGGCTCCGCATCCGGGTTGGTGTCTGACATTACGCTTTCGTCTCCGGGGGATTTTGTTGTATTGGTTGTGTTTTCGTCGAAGGGGGGATGGGCAGACGGGTTGTTGATTCTTTCTAGTTTGTCGAGGAGGCCGGAGAAGATTTCGCGGGCTAGGGGCGCGGGGTTCTCGCCTTGTAGGTATTCGGACATTGGGGGGACGGAGGTTATTCGGTTGGTGAGGACGTTGACTTCCATGTTGGCTTGGACGAGGGACATTTTTACGTTGAAGGGGGCGATTTCGTAGGCGAGGCTCTGGGTAATGTTAATTAGGGCGGTAGCAACGGCGGGGATAGTGCTTTCGTACGTCGCAGTAGCCTTCGACTGCCCATTGAGAAGAGCAGTACATGCCTAGACCGGGTGTTCCCAGATGGCCAGCTGGGAAGGGTCAGATAAGGAAATCTTCGAATGGTGATGGTGACTCACTAATACCAGTTATCACGATGATGTGACCATTTTTCCGTTCGCGCATGATCGGAAGTACGGCTTTGATGATGTTGACGTTCGCGAAGAAGTTGATCTCAAAGATCTCGTCGACCAGACTTCTTGTCCGGCTAGTCTGCGCGAGTTCCTCTACGGAGCCGATCACAGCTATATGAATGACATGTCAGTTTCACCTGGGGAAGCAGGGCAGGATCGCAACCTTCGCTCGCAGCACACAATAACACGTCGATGCGCCCAAACGCCTCCACAGCCTCAGCAACAGCTGCTTGACATTGGCCGACCACCCTACAAAAAAAAGCCGTCAGCAATGCGCAACACCTCACGAGAAATACCGGTATCAGATACTCACCTACTATCTAACCCAACGACCCTCAAATGCTCGCGCCATCGGTCCGTTTGTTTCACATCCTCCAAAAACGTCCGAAAATCCTCACTCTGGCCTTCTCTTTTCTCAAACTCCAGCGGCATAACGCCCGCGACAACATAATCGCCATGTTCCAGCACTTGCCGCGCTAACGCGATGGCAATAGGCGATGCGCCTCTTGTGATGAACCAAACGCGCGGAGCATTGTGGGGCGGGAAATGCGGCGACTTTGGCCGTGGCGGCTTCGACGACGCAGATAATGGCGCATTACTTGTCATGTCGGGGTCGGAAGGAATGGGGTGTACTTCATGTTGGCGGGCGCGTCTTCATGCTGCGGCGATGGGGATGCGCGGTGGAGACCGGGTATGTGGGGCAAGGAGGGCGCAACGCCGCTAGTGGTGAGACTTAGCGTGGTCGAAAATGACTGTACGAGCAGAAACACCATCACGACTCTGCCAAGACTTTGAGATATTGCGCATTTGGCAGTAAGAACAAGCAGAGTCTTGAAAGGATATATGTAGAGATACTGGAGATCTCCTTTCCGTTGTTGTTCTAACATCCAACCTCAACCTACCTCCTGCACACACAAACAAGCCGCCCTTTCACCTTCACTTCAGGTATGTCAACTCAGTCGTCATCGGCCGGCCATGAACCAGCCTCCTCAATTACAACTCTTCTCGTTACTCCCAGCCCCCTGCCGCACAGATGAAGCAGAGTCTTCAGCTCCTTCAGTCTCAAATCTTTCTCTCCAACCTACACTCAACTACTACACTCCATTTCCACAATTCTTCAATCAATTCCCGAAAAGCACTTCTGTCTATATCTTCAAAACATCCATCATCTACACCATGAGTCTGCTACTAGACCAGTTCACCAACAGTTGGACTGACCAGTTTCCGGACTACAGCAATCAAACCACCTACACCTTGCCTTCCGACGGCACTGTCCAGTTTGATCTGGCAAAGTGGTTGGCGAACGCCCAAGAAGAGCTACAGATCGAAGAAGAGCGCTGGCTCGCTGACGATTTCGACATCAACGAGCCTGCTCCGCGACCGGTCAAGATCCGAGCTAGAGACTCCGCGCAGTGGATCAAGAAAGACAACCGCAACTTCACTGGCCGTCGCAAGCGTAGACGTGAACTCCCTGTTCCGCGCGCCTTCAACAAGCCATTCACGCTCATGCAGCACCAACGCCATTCCATCCACCTCATGGGCAGGGTCCTCAATGTCCGCACCAATGGATCACCCTTCACGCTCGTCCTTGATGACCTCAACCAGCGTGCCGACATCTTCATTAGTGAGATCACCCGCCGCGCCCTCTCTCGCAACGTCAACGTCGTCTTCGTCACATTCGAGTCTGGCCAAGCCATGGCACCGATCCGCACCGTTCAGGGCTTCGGCATGACGAGCGACGAGATCCTGAAGGCTTTGCGCAAGGCCATGGACGATGCCAAGGAGAGCATCGTCGTCATCGACAACCTCCACGAGCTCCTCTACACTTACGGCGTCGACATGACCGCGCTATTCCAGCTCGTCGTCCACAAGTACGCTTCCACCCTCGTCGGCATCTACCACCAAGACCTGCTCGACAACCCGACCGAGTCACCATACGCCCCACAACCCCTGGAGCTGATCAAGTACATGGCCACCTCCATCATAACCTGCAAGTCCTTCGCGCACTGCCTCGCCGCCAAAGCCGCCGCAGAGCGCAGCCTTCCCGAGCCCACCTGGGGCATGCTGGAAGCCGCCGAAGGAATCATCCAAGACCTCGACGCCAACGACAACCGCGGCATAGTCATGGAAGCAGAGTTCCGCCGCAAGTCCGGTAAGCCAGAAGGCGAAACCTACTTCCTCCGCACGCCTCGCCCAGAAGACTATCACGACCCCATGCCTGGCATCCCCAACGGCACTCTCAAGCAGGAATACGTTATCCTCCTGGATATGCAGCCCGCATACGCCGGCAACGTGTCCGGCCTCATCCAAGATGCCGCTGAGAATCCCAACTCGACTTTCAACCTTGCGCTCACGGAGAAGCAGAAGCAGGCGAGGGAGGAGGTCGTGCTGCCTTACTTTGATGCGCAGAAGGGTGAGGGTGCTGGCGAGGGTGGGCGTATCTTGTATGACATGGGCTCTGAAGATGACTTTGACGAGGAGGAGGATGAGATTTGAGGATGCTTGGTGCGTCATTGGGTTGAGGATATGGGCGCTGGTCGCAGGTTTGAGTTGAACTTCTGAGATACCCTGTCTGGTAGGGCGACGGCGTTACGGCAATCATTGATGGGAGAGCGAGATGCGCGATGCGCAGGCAATGAGATGAGAGCACACTGCGAGAAAGCTTTTGCCTTCCATTGGGAGACGGTCTTACAGACGGATGGTGTTGCGTCTTCTCAAGATGCAGCAGTCGTACATAACGAATAACATGATAAAACCTATCGATACTGCGCTTTGCATGACATAATCGAAGTGCTTCTCAGCCTACTAACCTATCTCTTCGACTTCCACGTATCGTGATCTCGACTCGCGCATAGCACCTGCACCATGGTAGGGCTGAACCCTCAGCCTTGGCGCCCAAACTCCCCCAACTCACCAAATAATTCCCTTGCGCCAACTACACCCACACCCCCCACACCCCCCTCCCCACCATGGCAGACAACGAGCGACCACGCGCAGCCTACAGCGACCCCTTCGAGCGCGACACCCGGCGCGCACCCCGCGAAACCCGCGATCGAGGCGGCACACCCACCGAGCGGCGCGGCAACCGCTCACGCAGTCCACAAGAGCGCGGCGCCCGACGCGACAACCGGTACCGCTCGAGATCGCCTTTCCGAAAAGACGAGCGCGATGGTGGAGTCAGGGGAGGAAGAGGACGAGGACGTGGTGGACATGACCGCGGACGGGGCCGCGACGACAGGAGAGGAGGTGGAGGTGGCAGAGACGAGCGCCCCAACTTCCGCGACCGCTCGCCCCAACCGCCCAAAGGGCCTCGAAGCGATAACGCGCCTCCTGCTCGCAGCTCCCGACCTCCTCCAACCGGTCCCCGGTCCTCCACCGTCGACCCCATCAACCCCATCAAAAGGGAAGAAGAAGCCTCACCCGATGTCGAAATGAAAGACGAGCGCCAGAAGCCAGAAGACATGGACGACGACGAATGGGAGATGCTGAAGATCATGGGGTTCGGCGGGTTCAAAAGCACGAAGAACACAAAGGTACCCGGGAACGATAAGAACTTTGGGGTGAGGAAGGATAAGCAGTTGCAGGCTAGGCAGTATATGAATCGGCAGGGTGGATTTAATAGGCCGTTGAGTCCTGGTAGGAGTTGAGGAGGGGGTTTGGGGACTGAGATTTAGGATTACAGGGTTGGGAGGGATGGAGGAGACCGGGGGTTGGGGTCGGATATGGAGAGATCGAGGAGGAATGGCTCATTTGCAGAGGGTTTATACACTACTTGGCGGTGGCTACTGGGGTCACGATGTCTTTTGTCATTCACATGAGGCACTACCTCGCTGAGCCGGACGCACTTATGCCGCCTTGGGTGACTGGTTGAGTTGTGAGATGCCATGGAAGGGTCTACACTCATAATCACGCGGCTCATGGTATGGTGTCTTCTCTCCCTTTGTACTTGGCGCGGTTTCTTATGAGTCTGACCGAAGCAGAGGAATTTGGGATGCATCAAACCTGGTTGTGAGTAACAGGTACATCAGTCGAGGGAATTTGGCGGCATTCGAGCTCGATAGACTGAGACAGCTACGATATCAATATTTCGTCCGCCTCTTACCGCATTGTGGTGACACATTGAAACATAGATTCATATGCGCACTGATAGTACAGTCGGTGTCATTTTGCTAATTCATGATAGCAGACGAATACATTTGGGCGACGATGGGTGGGTGGGGGAGGCGGAGGGGAGGCGGAGGGGAGGAGGCGGGGAGGTGGAGGAGGTCTCTTTCCTCAACCAAGCCCAACCTAGAACCAGACCGCAGTCTGAGTCAAAGGCGCACTCTATTCTTTCTCTTTCCTCTACCGCTGTGCGTGTGTGGTTGAGTTTGAGCAGGAGTTGAGCGGGTGTGGGTTTGGGACGACCTCGGCCAATCAACGGCCGAGGAAGTTGCGGATGCTCCGCGAAATGTGTCCCAATCCCCCGCAAAGCTCCAGCTCCAGCTCCAGCTTCACTCAACACCATGACACGCGAATCTCGGCATGGCACCCTTTGGAAGGGGCTCACGTGCCTGTTCGCCCTTCAATTGCCCCTCGTGAGCGCGCAGGTCGCCGAAATCGAGAAAGCCACCAATGCGAGCTTGCTATGGGGTCCCTACCGCCCCAACCTCTACTTTGGCGTCCGGCCGCGCATTCCCAAGAGCTTGATGGGCGGTCTGATGTGGACGCGCGTTGAAGACTACCAAAGCGTGCAGCATAGTACGTCTGCAATCCTAAGCTTGGACAAAACCCATTGCTGACTGTACAGACTTTCGACACACGTGCGAACAACACGAGCTCGATGGCTACGGCTGGGACGAATACGACGTGCGCAGCGGCGGCCGACAGACGATCCACGACCCGGCGAATAAGATTGACATCACCACCGAGTTCATCAAATTCCCTGGCGGAGAGCATGGCGGCAGCTGGGGCGCGAGGATCAAAGGCACGCCACGAGAAGACGCTGGCCCAAACCTACGCACGACTGTCGTCTGGTACAACACGCTCGCTGGATTTGGCAACTTGGGCATTGAAGATGTCGACCCCGAAGAGCCTGGCATCGAGGGCGATGTAGTTCTGAAAGGGCAGACGAAGGAATTGGGCGAGTTCGAGCTCACTGTCACCAAGGGCACCGGCGAACATCCCATCACTGGACACCCAAGCTACGACGAGAAGCCTCTGGACCGGACACTGGCACACAGCGGACAGGTGCCTGAGGATGCGCTGTGGCAGGTCAAGGCCATGATGTTTGCGCACATGAAGGGCCAGATCGACGTCCTGGTCCCCAAGTACGGCGAGGACAACCCACCACCCCCTGCGCAGGTCTACACTATCCAGCATCTGCCGGGCAAGGGTAACATGCACCTGGTTCAGAAGGTCTTTGAGGGTCCCTTCGAGTTCGACATCATCTTCTCATCTGCATCGGCGCCGGAGAAGATCACATCCGAGCATCTCACTGAGCAGATTGATTCAGTCACTTCCAGCTTCTCGACTCGCTTCACGGACATCTTCAAGCCCCAGACGCCATTTGTCAAGGAGCGCTACGAGGAATTCGGCAAGTCGCTCTTCTCGAACCTTATCGGCGG